GTGATCCTGGTCACCATCCCATGCTGACTGTAAATATTTGGCAGTGATAGTCATGGTCATAGAATTTTAGAATTCAAAAAATATTAGATCTAACCTAATCAGGCCTTACTTCTACAGAAGAGGACTGAAACCTAGAGAAAATAATTATTATGCTTACTATTTCACATCTAGTTAATTTAGGAGTTAGGACCAGAAAAAAAGGTAAAAAAAGAGTTTTGAATCTGGTGCTTTCCCCCCTTGAAAGTGTTACACATTATTATCTGCATATTGGCATCAAGTAAACTCATGCTTTAGCAGTTACAAAAGGTAATGAAAAAACAATAAGTTCTGAAAGAAAATGGACAAATTTTAAGTAGCATTGTGTTTTGTTTTTTACTTCACTTTCTTTAAAAAATTGAATTTTAAAGCCTTTAAGCAGGATATTCATTTACTTGTTCTTCACAGATCCTACCAACAAGAATCACCAATTTATGTTAGCTTCCTGACTCTGCAGGATTTTCCCACTCCTGATGGAAAGTACTGCTCTTTTTCTAACCTCCACTTAACCAGCTCAGCATGGCTTAACCTGCTGTCCATTCTCTGTGCAAAATCTACAGACTGGCACTCAAGGCATGCTGAATGCTATTCACTTATTTCTGCCTCCAAAATTGAGTGGTATGTTATACCAAGAGTCAGTCAGCCTTGTTTGCTCCCCAAGTATTTATGAGTCTTACTTTTCTTCCCATTACATAGTGTAAGTAAAATTTCTATAAGCTGATGACAAAACAGTACAAAAAAGATAAAAGAATCATTGTTCCTAAGCAAGCTAACTGAAACATCCAGTAAAGATGAGTTGCCAAATTTAAATTGGATGTGGGTGAAGGAAATATAAAAAATTAGACATAGATCACAAAGATCTAAAAGCATTGTTTTCACATAGATTTGTAAACATCTTAAAATTCTAATTCCCATGTAAAGAAACTGAAACTAGAATTCACAGAGGATTCGTTGTGGGCCTCAAGTCCAGCTAAAATACCATCAGTAGACTCCTACTTGGAAATAAGAGGTTGGCAATTGAAGTACATCTGGGTATTTTAAGTTACAATAAATTAATATGGTATCAATATATTATTCTTCTTGAGTACCAGCTTTAACTAGTTTTTTGATCAACTGACTACCTGTAGGTCTCTTATGCAACTGATAAGAAAGCTTTTTTATATATGAGACACCAAAATTTCATTTCTAAAAAATACCAATATTATCACTTTTATATATAAGTATGTATGGAAGCATATTGTCATATAAAATATTTATTATTTATCATATATGTAGATGTAAGAATAGTGATTTTCATGATGGTTTAGTACTTGCCTAGAACATTTCATCTTAAATGTATTGAATCTAATTAACATCTGATTTTGACTTTAGTATAGGTGGATACTGGAAGGAAACAGTTTATAGTTAAGAATTATGAGTTCTACATTGTATATCCTAGAGGAAAGAGCATTTATATAGATAAAAATTCCTTGTCAGCTTCAAGTTTTTTCTGTCTTAAGTAAAGCTTTCATGCCTCTGATTACACATGCATTCTGATACATTCCAATGCTATAGCAGAAGCTTGACCAACACAAAAACTTCTACAATGGCAGAAGTATTCTCTGGCAATTTTTAATGTGACATTTTCAAGGTCTGTAAAACCTATATTTGCAGAGTTGACTATGACTGGTATTAGTCACATCCTAGTCCTTGAATTTAGAAATCCAAGTGTATTAAAAGCTGTCACCACAAATGGCAAAAATCTCATAAAACTTGGTTTACTTCCAAAAGTAAGTTTATCCTCTAACGTTGGGTTATTTTGGAACTGTGGATTGTATAAACTTCTGCTTAAACAATCAAATAGCTTATGATCTTCACTGATTTACTGAAATCCATCCAAAAATCCAGGACATCTTCTGGTTACGTTAAACAGAGAGCAACAGCTGCTTCTTGAGCAGTAGGAAAAAAAAAACTCTCCTTAAAAAGAGAAGTAAGAGAGAGGGATGAAGAGGGTAACCAAATGAGGAAAACAAAGAAATGTATTTGCCTTTAGCTTAGGGGATGCTGTCAGCCAGTTAGGTAGTCTATCTTATGGTCTTTAATTGCACATCTTTTGGTTAAAATTTAAATCCTAAATCATAAGGCTAAAAAGGATGAGATACCTTATCTTTCCTTTATCTTCCTACTGTTTGGTATTCAGGCACAATTTGCTGTAATGAAAGTCTACCATGTTCTGTGTCTAACTTGGTTGTCCCATTTAGAATTTGTTTCCAATACTTAAAATGGATAGGAAGGTAAAAATGTTTGAATTACACATTTTATTTTATTTTTTTTTAATTCTTTTTAATGTTTATTTATTTTTGAGAGAGAGAGAGAGAGAGCGAAGGAGAGGCAGAGAGAGGACAGAGGATCCAAAGCAGGCTTCATGCTGACAGCAGAGAGCCCGATGTGGGGTTTGAACTCGGGAAATATGAGATCATGACATGAGCCCAAGTTGGATGTTTGACCAACTGAGCCACCCAGGTGCCCCTGAGTTACGCATTTTATAGGAAATCAATGAATAATAATCAAAGGTAACTTCAGTGTGCTGCTGGGAGTGGCAGTTCTGACTGCCATGTCTGCTGATTTGTTGTAGTGGCTTTGCTCTGGCCCATTTTCATGTCTCCACACTGGCCAATAAAAATTCAGGAAATCCATTTCCTCCCTTTTAGGCTGGTTTTGTGCTTTCACTCAGTGAAAAACCATAGAAGAGGGAAGTTCAGTAGAATTCCTTATCCTACCATTTCACATCACCCTTACTTGTAATTAGTGCAGATAAAGTTCAGAGGCACATAAATATTTGCTAAGTCTTCTGACACTTCTAAAGTTGTTCATTTTCTCTATGATTAAAACATATCAAGTGCTGGCATTATGAAAGGCACTGTGTCCTTGGGGTTGGCTTGATTTTATTTGCTTCCACTTGAAAGAGAAGTCCTTTAATGGCTGTCTTTTTCTGATTGTCTTCTTTGTCACTGTTCCATTGGAAAAGTATCTCTATCTGTGGAAATGGATAAACTATTGGAAGTTATAATATGCTTGGGCTATTGGCTTTTTTATAATCACTACTTGATATTTTGACTTCCTATACAGAATTGTTACAAGTGTAAAATCTCAGCATATGAAAAGTCTGTTTAGAAAGGAAATACAATGTTCGGTAAACTAAAACCTTTGAGATAATACCAGTCTTGTGTGTTTCCACTGTCTCAGAGGTATTATCTGTGAATCTTAAAGTGCAAAATTCTAAATCTGGAAGTTTACCCCTCCTTATACTGCTTTGGGGGTTGTTTACCACCAGAGTTAGTTGAATTAATACAGTATCCTTGCCTGAGAAATATATTTTTATTAGGTTTCATTCATAATGTAAAGTTTTTATGCTACTTTCAAATTATTTTAGTATTAAAATGAGATCTCTCCTTATTTCAAACTTAAAACTTGATCTGTATAATGTGCGTTTATAACAACAGTAGAAAATCATAGACTATGAGTTCAAATGGCTTGACATCTAATCCTAGATCAGTCATTAATTAACCAAATCATTTGTCGTCTTCAAGCTTCTGTTTTTCTCTCTTGTAAAGTGATGGCATCATAATTCTCCGAATATTCTCTACAGCCTCAAATTCTATGATTCTCTGATACTCCAGGACTCCCTGTATCCTTTCCAGTCTTCTGTGAAATTAGCACTTTTTAAAAAGTACTTTTAAAAACCAACGAAAGCATTGAAGACACTTAAAACAGCTTTTCTGCAAATGTATTTTAATTAATTGATTAATTTAATTTAGAAAAGTCTTCCAGAAATTACAGTATAGGCACTTATGCAAGTCACACTTTGTCAGGTAGTACTTCATCTGTCTGACTGTTCGATGCATTTGCAGAATTGTGTAGTAATTCCAGAGTGCCATATAAAACAATTGGGCACTCTTGCAAAATTTCATAGTTAAGAGATAGCTGACTAGTTGGTGGTCCAATTTCTACAACAGTCCTGAAAGACATTTGCTTTCATCTAGTAACTGGCTACCATGGTGGTAACAGATGACTTTTAAACAGCTGTCACAAGCTAAAAACAAAACAAAATAAAAAAGCCACCCTCCCACACTATGAACAGACAGCTTGCCAATAGCTAAAACAAATCCTTCTAAGATCGTTTTAACAAAAATTTTTTTTGGATTATTGTTATAATTAAATAGAAACTCATAAAACTCAGACAAGCTGGCTTGTGTTTCCCACAGACCTGAACTGCCTGAATTTTCTAATGGGATCACAGCAATTAGTGGTTTCCAGATGCATTTAAAATGTGTTAAGTGCCTGTAGGGATTGGCTTTGAAAGCATACATGAGTATTTAAATGTTTCACTCTCAAGAATCTACTATAAGCCCCATGAGGTACTCTGACGTATGTGTAATGTTGGACCGGAGTTTGATGCCTAAGTTGCAATTAATAGGAAAAAGAAGTGACATAAAAAAAACCTCTGTGTCTTACATACAGTTGTTTTTTTTCTTTTTACCTTCTTCTCTTTTAATGGCCATATTACCAGTTCCCCTGTTATCTGAAAATCATAGAAATAACCACCAGCGCTCATTGGAGAAAAAGCTGGAATGAATGGTGTTGGGAGAAGAAAGTTCTCGGTGTCCATGGGTCATGAAGCACTGCTGGAAAACTCATTCCTGGGCTGTGGCTAATTGAACTACAAACATGTCAGTCTGACAACGTTAACAGTTTATGACACCTATGTTGAAATGTCCAGCCTTCTTTTACCTGCTCCTGGAAAATTTCTCCCTGTCACAAGACTCTTCTTTAACTGAAAGACTGAGTCTTTAATGTTTATACCCAACGTTTTACCTTTGGTTGAAACTAGGCAGAAGGCGAGTTTGTGGTCTGTTTTCTCACAATTGGCAGTGCCGAAAACAAGACATGAGAATAAAAACATTTTTGATGAAAAATGCATTTACCAGGTGGTTTTCTCCTCCAGTCACTGACATGCTTATCTTCCCTTGAGACACATCCAAGCCACACGTCCTTCATATTTTTGTCTTTCAGATCCCATGTGGACAACGCATAAACAAAAATGAGAAACGCGAAGAGAGACTGGTAATGTTCACCAATCAGCAAGAGGATTCTGAAAGGTAACGATGACATTTTATTTAGAGGATGTGTGCTTTTCCTAGTAATGTTCTAAGTGGAGCGCTTCTGTAGTCAGAGATGATGAGTGCATTATGAGTAGACGAGAACCTATCTGGATAATATCATATAGAGTAGATAAGAAAAACAGGGTGGATAACAGTGTGGACCATTTGGACACATTTTCTTTCATTGCTATCTCATGGGCAAGAATTATGGTAGCTTATAGAGGTTTTACTTTTTTTTTTCCAAGTATTTGGTAAATTTCCCTTGGCAAGTTTGGACTTTAAGATAATTTCTCTTGAATAGCAAAAATGTTCTCCTAGAAAACAACTCTATTTTACTAATAAGGTGAAGAAGTAGCTATATCTTCTCTCCTGAGTAATTAAATCCTTAGTTCAGGAATAGGGTGAGAAATTTACTAAATCCTTTATCAAAAAATCCCAATGTCAGTCACTCCACATTCTATCAACGCCTTATGGCTTGTCTCAAACCTCCTTCTATTCATTGACCTATATAGTTATTTCTTTGACTTTTTATTTGGCACCTTCTATGTGCAAGATATTTTGCTAGCTACTTGAAGAAGATGAATCAGGTACAGACACTACCCTTTAGCTGTTTGCTGCTCACAAGTAAAAAGCCAGGCGCATACCTCCAGATAATATACATTCAGTGTTTGCCTCATAAGTGAGGCACAGATAGGCTGCTCTGAGCAATCAGAGGAAGGTGAGAATCCTTGTTGTGGATGTAAAGAGATGCATGAAGAAGGAGTTGTTTGGCCTAACTTCTGGCAAAAAGAAGATGGGAGAAAAGATACAAAAGAGAAGGAAATGGTGTTCTAGGCTGAAGGTGAAAATGCCCTCATAGGAGAGTTGAGGACTTGTGTAGGAACCAGGGAGTAGTTCATTGTGGCTTCCACATCTGGCATGTAATACAAAACACATCCTGGGTGAGACACTAAATAGCCAAGAACTTATTCTGTAGGCCAATGTTTCTCTATCAAGACAAAACTTCTTTCAAGTAAAAGTTTATCACTTATAAACTTATTATTAAAGAAATAATAAGACTCGGGTTCGTAAGTCACTGTTTTCCAGTTGGGGCTCTTCTTTCAAGTAAAAGTTTATCACTTATAAACTTATTATTAAAGAAATAATAAGACTCAGGTTCGTAAGTCACTGTTTTCCAGTTGGGGTTCTCATAAGCCCCTAGGTCTGAGGCACATGTTGAGGGTTCCTGATCTGTGAAAACTCATTCATGAAAAGGGGTTTATATATACTTCCAATATGAGAACCATGACAGCACACAAGGGGAGCCATTATGAATTTTGAACAGGGATTGACAATAGGCTAATCTGGCTATAGTGTTTAAAATTGGCAAGGGGACGGGGCGCCAGGGTGGCTTAGTCGGCTAAGTGTCCGGCTTTCGCTTAGGTCATGATCTCGCGGTTTGTGGGTTTGAGCCCCGCGTCGGGCTCTGTGCTGACTGCCAGCTCAGAGCCTGGAGCCTGTTTCAGTCTGTGACTCCCTCTCTCTCTGACCCTCCCCTGCTCATGCTGTCTCTCTCTCTCTCCTAGAAATAAATAAAAATTAAAAAAAATAAATAAAATAAAATTGGCAAGAGGAAAGACTAGGAGTTTGAATAAATATATAAATGTGATTTCTCTTATTCCTCCCAACCAGTATCTATAACAAGCATTTTATCCTTTAATTGTGTAACTTTAGCATTTTATTTTGTACTACTCTTTATTATTCTATAATTGTGCTGTGTGTAAGCTTTGTCTCCTTATAGAATTTTATCTACCTCAAGACAAAGAACTTATCATACAATAGTATAACCTACTTTAACAGTAGGTGTACAAAGAGCATTGATCCATTTCGTACAGTTTTATAAAATGTAAGTAAAATATAAATTTGACACAAATATAAATTTGTGTCATAGGAGTACTCTGGGGATGAACCTCTAGGATACTACAGATATTATAGAAGCATAGAATACAATCTAAAATGTTGAATGTTTTTTAGGAAATGTGATACCCATTCTCCTTTGGTAGCAGAGGCCCATATTTGTTAAATTTTACCAGTTTAAAAGAGAACAAAGAAAATCAAAGAAAGGAAAGAAGGAAGGAGGGAAGGAGGAAGTAGAGTAAGGATGGAAGGCAGTCAAATCCTTTGTTTCTGTGTTTTGAAGATACGTATATCCTTAGCTTTGTATTCAGTATATTCACTCTGCAAAGAGGTAGGGACTAAGCTTTTCTTCATACGGAGAATCGTAAGGAATCACTAGCCTCTTGCGTCTTATTCTGTTGCTTCCTCCTGCAATGCACATTAATGTTGAGATTCTCTCAATTTACCTATGATGAAAATTACACAGAATTTAGTAGTTAACATATTTTTTCTATGGTAGGAAAAAAATTGTATTTCTGAGAGAAAGAAAGAGAGAGGTAGGTCTTTAACAGTAATTTGAAATGCCCAAGAGATAGTTTTCAGTTTAACATTTTAAGGTGGCTATGACTCAGGATCCAGAAGAAGGGTGACTGGATGAGGCAGACACTGCAGTCTGTTTTTGTCTCAGGCAAGGTGAAAAAGAAAGAAGGAAAAAGGGAAATGAGAGGCAACAGGGCAGCAACAGAATAGTGAGTGCTGAATTATCTTTTCCTCTTGCTTTCCTGCGTGGACTCCTTTCTATTTGAACGATTATAGTTTCTGCAGGGATATAATTTGCCATCTCTTGAAGTACTATGTATTGATATTACGGATGTCATATCAAGCTTCTTTTTCAAAGTTAAAGTAAAGAGTGGAGGAAACAACTCTGATCCCAGTGAGGGTTATCAAAGTAAATACAATATTTTATAGTTTTTACATTACCCTTTAAGAGGATCTCAAAGCATATTGTTTTAAAAGCAATCCCACTCGACATATTATGATCCTGGATTCATCCTTGTTTTGAAGTACTTTTAGACTGCTAACTCCTCATCTTAATTTTCCTTCCTTTAAAAAAGTTTTTAATGTTTATTTATTTTTGAGAGACAGAGAAAGACAGTATGAGCAGGGGAGGGACAGAAAGAGAGGGAGACACAGAACTTAAAGCAGGGTCCTGGGTTTGAACCTACGAACTACAAGATCTTGACCTGAGTGAAGTCGGATGCTTAATCGACTGAGCCACCCCGGGGGCCCTCATCTTAATTTTTCTAAGGTAGATGTTTCCTTGTCTTAACATTTTATTTTATGAATTGTATTTTTTAAATTAAATATGTGTTCAGTAAATTATAACCTAGCAAGGAAAACTACCGTGATTCATTATAGCCTCAAGTATAGGTAATCTCAGAAGAGTAAAATGAATGGTAACTTCTCATGAAGTGTCTTTTACTTGTCCTTAAACTTATTCGTGTTAGCACTCATTCAACCTATGTACTAAACACAATAGAATACAATCTCAGTTATTCATTGCTTTCTGGGAACAATGTACTGGTTTTAGATACACTTAAGGAACTCCTGTGTTTTTCCTCATATTCAAAGTACTCAAATTTCTTTATTCAAAACACTGGTGTACTTTAAGAAAATTAAGCAATAAGGACACCTGGGATAGTGCAGTTGGTTGAGCTGTGACTCTTGATTTCAGCTCAAGTCGTGATCTCACTGTCATGAGTTTAATTAACCCTGTGTCAGCTCCGTTGCTGGGTGGGGAGCCTGCTTGGGATTCCCTCTCTCCGTCTCTCTCTGCCCTTCCCATCACCTTTCTGAAAGAAAGAAAGGAAGGAAGGAAGGAAGGAAGGAAGGAAGGAAGGAAGGAAGGAAAGGAAGGAAGGAAGGAAGGAAGGAAGGAAGGAAGGAAGGAAGGAAGAAAGGAAGGAGGAAGGAAGGAAGGAAAGAAAGGAAGGAAGAAGGAAAGAAGAAGGAAGAAAGGAAGGAAGAAAGAAAGGAAGGGAGAAAGAGAATTAAGCAATAGTTGCTGGGATTTTTGTTTTTTGTTTTGTTTTGTTTTGGTTTTTTTCCATATGAATGCTACACCCCCCTCCAGATGCAGTATTTGGCAGCCAAACAGCTGCTGGCTATTAAATGTCCCTTAAAGCTCCATTTTTTGCTCATAAAGGGAAGAGAAGTGTAGGGACGTTTATGGGGTGACAGGCAGATGTTTTGTTGGAGCAAGACTACATATGTGGCGAGCGAAAGCTAAAGTGATCTCTTTTATGATATCATCAGCATTTTTACAATTCCTTTGGCCTCTTTGTTTTTAACTGCCTTCTTACCTGACCTTAAATTAAGTATTTTGGAAAGGTAGAATAAAGGGCCATTTATATAGTTGCTGTCCACATTGCAGAGAAGTTAGTGGGACCATCTACCTTCTTGGACAAACAGAGGTTATCTTCTGTCCATTCATATTGTTTCATGGGGTAGAAGAGAAATTGATGTTGAAGTGCTGAGTAAGTATTTTTAATGAGTCACAGAATATCACACATCATTTTTTCTCATAAATTTTACTAATTCTTAGTCATGCTTTAAGTAGTTTCAGTATTAAAGTTCACAAAACAAATTTGTCAGTTTTTCATGAATTATAGATATTCAAACTAATAAAAACCAAAGTCTTATTGGGTTTCTGGACAATAGTCTAAGTCTTTTCTCTTTCCAAAAGAAGAAAGTGGCATCTCAACTATGTGTTTATGTGTAACATAGTAAGTAAAATTAATTTTTATTGGATGGATAAATTCACAGAGACTTAAGCAGGGGACTTCTGGAAAACTGTGCTTTCAACAAATTCTATAAAGCACATTTTGGAAAAGCTTCTTCAAGTAAACAACACCCATGGGATAAACATAGACTTTTCATTTTCTAAGGCCTAGCTTATACAGAATGCCTAAAAATATATCTTTTGTTCTGCCTGTTTTTAATACCTTATGTCTCCATAAACTCTTTGTTTGATTCAATGCAACAATCACTTGTAAAATTCCTACTATGTCCTAGGAAGTGCTGGGGAGATGTTGTAGGAAAGAATATCAAGTTA